TCGGACAAACAAATTATTTTTAAAAAAAGTCTATGGCAAGCGGAGGGATAAATATACTCACACACCTATACTCCCTCAAAAAGTGCATAAAAGTTAAGTGCACCTCCATAATTCTCAAATGTTGTAGTACACCCTTAAAAATTACTTTTTTCTTATTTTACCTCTTAAGTTAGAAGTTTTTCTTCTTTTTTATATTTTGTCACTTTGGTTTCCCATTTTAAATCTCTATTAGGAGGGTTGAAACTGAGTATGGCATTGCCCTCTATCATGAGTTACTTACTACTTATTATTATTGGAATCAATTTAGATTAGATCATATTAGAAATAACTTTAACTATAACTATATTTAGATGAGATCTTAGTCAGACCAGAATTATTTTAATCAGAGAAAAAGCCCTAAAATTGTCCACTCACACCTAAAATTGCAAGTCTCATGTTCGCAGCATAAGTTTAAGAACATTATGCAACCTTTATTAATTACTAATCCGAATTTAATCTTTGTGTTGTATTTTCTGAGGCCTCTAATATAATATTTTTATCATTAATATCGATATTGATATGCAAATTTATTTGATAAAAAGTTAATATTTCAAAACTACATTTCAAAATGAATGTATTAATATCATATTTATATTGAACGCAATATAGTTTTTCAAGATATCGAGGCCAAACTTTACAAGTTTTAACCAACAATAGTCTGATGAAAATATTAAATCAGGACAGAGAAAGTAATGTCTAAAGATTAGGATATAGACAAATTGTAATTTTTTAAAGCCTACGAAGTAGACTATCTTCAATAGAGTGTGTAAAATAAGTGGTAAAATGCAATGTAGTGTAAAAAGAACATTTTCTAGTGTACTTATACAAGTTTCATGTAGAGTGTAAAAATTGTTAATAAGTTATTTAAAAACTTTTTTAAGTTTGGGAAAATTTGTGTTGGCAAACACGAAAGCAATAAATAAAACACAGAATTAAAAGCGTAAAATAAATAACACACCAATTTTAGACTGGTTGGGGAACTACCTACTCTAGTACCTTAAGACTCCTTCTTAAGTATTTTCGATGCCGTTTTGGTTTCTTCAACGCCGTCAAAGCACCGTACTAGTTTTGGCAAACAACCCTTGCCATTAGGATTCACCCCGAGATTTCACAATGGCTATCTTGAACCGCTTACAACAAATATTTGAAGGTTATCTTCTACCTTTTCCCTCAAGGATTTGAAAGGCTATCCTTGAAACTTTTATCCAAAGATTTCTCGGATATCCTTAACCGTCTACACAAGAATTTATATGGTTATCCTTGACTATTACAATTTAGTGAAATATATATCTAAAAACACAGAAAAATATTCAACACTTTTGGCCTATGATAAAGAAATAGATTAATCCTTGGCTGGTGAAGAACATAGAATACATTCTCTAATACAAAATCAGCTTAATGAATATGAGAGTAAATACTTTTAGTCGGTGTGCCCACGCCTTAGAGGGGGGGTAAATAAGGTGTTTAGATAAAATTAATACTTTTTGTTTATTCAAAAATAATGGTGCGCCTTTAGAAAAACAATGGTGTTAAAATAAATTCAGAGTAATAAATGCAATGAAGAAGAGCGGGAAATAAGTGTACCATATTTTATATTTGTTCGGGAACTCCTTACTCCAGTACCTTAAGTCTCCTCCTTAAGGATTTCCAATCCACTAGAACGCCTTGATCGTCTCAACACAATCGCCACAACAGAACTAGTTTTGGCAAACAAACCTTTGTCGATAGGTGTACACTAGATAGACAATAGTGTTGGAATGCATGAGTTCAACCCTTTCTGTGTTGTTTAGTGTTGACTCACAGGTTTTGATAATTGACAAACACAATTTATTCAAGTCAAGATTAAAGTGCTACAACTAAAAATAAGAAGACTTGAAGTGCCATTCCTTGAAGTATTCAAGAAGGTGCACAGAATTTTGTTGAAGTCCGAGACGCGTCCGGAGCGCCTAACGAAGGACTCGGAGGAGTAGAAGTTTTCCGAAGACTTTTTATTTATTTGAGTCTTAGGAATTATTGTAAGGATGACAAAAATATNTATTATAAAATATTTTTGGTAAGCAAAAATATTTTATTCAAATATTTTTCGTGTACATCGTTTGACACACAAAATAATTTTTGGACTCACTTTTACTCCCTTATTCAAATTCATTGAATAAGAGGAGGAGCGTTCTCTGATTCCCGTTGTCTCAAACAACGAGTGTTACGCCAATTTGCTCTCCATCGCAACTGGCTTGGGCCCTTTGTGTTTTGCCCATTATTTCTTTTGGTAATCGATTATATTTCTCTGTTTAATCGATTAACTGTCGTTCGCATTCCATTAATCGATTATGCCTCTTGTTTTAATCGATTAGTCCTCTCAGAGCCTTCTAATCGATTAATCCCTTTGCATTAATCGATTATTTCCGCGTTGAAGGAACTCTGCGCAGACTGCATTAATCGATTATTGACACTGCATTAATCGATTATTATGCTGCATTTTTCATCACAGCTTCTTTACTTGGACCAACGGATATATTCCTTCAACCCCTTTATAAACCTCACTCCTTGGTCATTTTTACAATGTACAAGAACTCCTAAACTCCCCCAATCTTGAGGTTATAATCCTCCATTCATTTCTTCCTCAAATTGATATATTTTGAGAGAAAACTAAGTGTTTTCAAGAGAGTGTTCTTGTCATCCATAGAGCTTAATCTTTTCTCATTTCTACTCTTGTGAGAGTTATTGTTGTGAGGTCGAAGAAGATTGTTCTTCTTGTTGTTCAAGGCTTATGTGATTTAAGTCTTGGTTGTGAAGTCTTGTAGAGGGCATATCTACGAGCGATTGTGTCGAGGCTTGTGGGATTCAAGTTCTCGAGTTGTAAACGGTTTGTTAAGCACCCGCAAGCTTAACGAAAGTAGTGGTAGCTTCGAGAGAGTCTCTCGGGGAACTGGACTAGCCACGAGGTGGTGAACCAGTATACATCGGTGTGTTCTTTACCTTCTCTCTATTATTTCCGCTGCACTTACGTTTATATTATTAATCCTGCGAAAATCGGTAATCATTCTCAACAACTCTATTCACCCCCCCTCTAGAGTTGCACGCATTTTCTAACAAATAGTTCACACCTTGCAGTATTCAACTAGCTCGAGGATTCTCCAATGGCTATCCTTGACCGCTTCTAGAGATTTCAGAACTGCTATCTACAACCGTCTCAACAAGGATTTCACAGATCTCCTTGACCGCTTCTGGAGATTTCACAACGGTTATGTCCCACTGTTCTTCAATGAAGATTTTACAACAGATATCTTCGACCGATTACAACAAAGATGAATCATAATCAACACCACCTCAAGAATATAGAATACAAATGTCGGGTTGGTGGAATAATATCTATACACTCTAGTAATTGCTACTCTCTTATAGAAGATATGAGTGTAGTATATCTCTTGGAATCAAGCTCAAAATGTGTTCAAAAAAATATTGAGAATTTGGCTCTAAATAGCCTAATATAAAATCATAGATTTTATGAACACAAAAGAAGGAAGAAAAGGATGATTAATGCTTAGCTTTCATAATTAAAATGTTGAAATAGTTTGGGTATTCATATGGATGGAATATGAATTGTTTAATTTGAAAAGATAGTTGTTTTAAAACAATAATTAACTCCTAATACCATAATTAAAGGAATCATACCGTTGGGGTGCAAAGATCAAGGAGTGGAAAATTCTCGTCCATGAACGATCCAAGTAATCGACCATTCCTGTCCAAATGGTCGACCGGTCTGGGTAACAGTCAGATTCTCTACAACGGTCAGTCAAACAGTCGACCATTCTATCCAAACGATTCATCGAGTAGACCGTTGTTACCTAGCGCATGATTTTGTCCAAACGATCAGTCAAACGGTCGACCGTTCAATTGAAACGGTTCAACCATTGGTCCTTCGTTTTCTTAGTTATGCGGAAGAAAAAATATTTTGGTAAAAAGCTCATAACTTGTTCAATACTTATCAGAATTGAGTAATTCAAAAACCGTTGATCTCGTATTGAAAAGAATGTTAACTTTTGTTCATTATTTTTTCGAAAATATCAAAACATATTTTTCAAAAATTATTTACCAACATTATTTTGTAAACCAAATATCCAAGTAAAAAACTTTGTGTGCAAATTTGAGCTTGAGCTTAGAAATATATTACTCATGATTCTAAGCAAGTTCTTTAGTACTTTCTCTATATTTTTTTCCCTCTTTAACTCAATTTCTAACATTTTTCCTATTCCATTTTTTTAATCATACATTATGATACCGGGTTAAGAGCTACATGTGATGGGCAAAAAGAAAACCAAAAGTGGTCGTATTTGTATCTAAACATTTCATCTCTCAATTTTTTTCACCTCATACTTTGTCCATTAAAGGGAGTGCGGTGAGGTGGGGTCTGAGGGACTATTAGGGGATAGAAATCACTTGAGAAATCAATCAACATCATAGAAAGTAGAGACCTCAAATCAAATAACCCAATGTCAAATTATGATAATGAAATTTAGTGTTAAAAGAATCACATTATACACCAAAATTCAATATTTCAATCCAAGTAATTTATATTCAACCATAATACACATGCAAAAAAGGTCTATACATAAACTAAAATGAATTAAATTAGGGACTAAAACCTTGTTCTCTTCAACTTATTATTTATTCTTATTGGAATCATATTAGATTATCAAATGATACACGAGATCAGGAACAATTTTTAATATAACTACAATCAAATCAAATCATATTTAACCTTAATAAAGTCATATCAGATCCAATCAAATCATATGATTTTTTCTGTCAAGTCTAATTCTTTAAGCAATTCAGACCTGCACCATTCAATGCATACATTAACCTGTTCTACAACTTATACCCAGTAATAATTTGAGTTCACGGCAATATAATGGATTACTAGTAGGAGAAAAAAACAAGTAATTTCAAAACGAGAAAGTGACTCAATCATAACATATTTATTATTGTTGGCATCTGAGGCTACATTGTCTTCAAAATTAGAACCCACACATTGAAAAAAATGAATACAGCTCTGAAAAATACAGAGGTACCTGGTGTGCCCTTCAACGGAATCAAGGATGTCCACCCATGTCTGACAATATTCCAAGAATTTAACAAAAACCAAAATCTCAAAAGAATGAAATTAATGAATAGCAGATTCTGTTACACTGAAGCACAAACTAATTGCAAAGAAAGATGATATTCCATTGCGGAGAGCCTAACCATAGTCGTGATTTTGGCTAGTAACTATGATGACAAGGGAGGCAGTTCATCATTGGACTGTGGTGAAGAGGGATGCAGTGATGTTGATCTGAAATCCATACTTGGATACACACCAGGTGGCCTTTCTTGAGGCTGGATTGACAATAATTGGTTTGAATCACCTACCACATCTGCCCAACCGTAATGTGGCTCCGCCCTTCATTCAAAAGTAATAAACGTATAAAAATATATAAACTTCTCACATTTGTTTCCCAATTTATTAGATGCCGCCAGGGGCCTCACTCACTCATAATAAGTTTCTTCATCTACAACAATGTCCCAGCTTTCACCTGTCGTACTCTTGCCATATTTGTGTACTTTTCTGATACATAGAGAAGACAACATGTTGACGTTTAATACACAGATAAGACAAATTAATTTTGCATACTTTTCAGTTATTGATATCAAGGGATCGGTACTGCTTTATTGATATCAAGGTTAATCACAGAAGCCTGAAATTTTCAGCAAGGAGAATTGTAATGGACAATTACCCATTTCCAAAGTGCTCTTCTCCCCATGTTCTCGACCACCCTGAAAAAATGGCAAAATGTTTGATCTTGCTAGACTCAAGGGATCAGTACTGCTTTACGAATTGATAGAACTCATGAAGCAAATAATATGAATGCCAATGTTATGCAGTATTTATAGAAGTCATAAGGCACAATGGGCTAAAATACTATGAGGAAATAGACCATATATGTCTACCTCGTAATCATCAATCCATACAACAACAAACCCACTATAATCCCAACTCTTTGGGGTGGGGGGTCAAGATGCACACAACATTACCCTTGTAAAAAACAGAGAGGTTTCCATTAGACCCTATTCACATTAAGTTACTGCAGAAAAAGTTGTTCAAGAAGGTTCTCAGCTAAACAAAAATCTCTGATTTACTTCGAAGTGTATCCTAAACCATTTCCTGAACACAATTTGGTGTGCAGCTTCAGAGTAGGAAAGGGTGAGCATACAATATGAAATTATGAGCTATATGTGAATAGGTTCTCCATAAGAATAAACTTTGCCAATTATCTAGCATGGAAGGATTGCACCTACGGTCACCACTAGGCGATACATGCCAGGTTTCTCCCTGCCGTGACCCAATGCCTGCAAAGAATTTTTCTTCCCATTTATCACCCCATTTTGTTCCCAGTGCTGTCTCTGCCCACTTATCTGTCCTGAGACCAAGCAACACAATCAATAGTACTGAGCTCTTCTAGACTTAATAAGCTCTGTCACAAAACTCAAAATGCAATCAATCAAATTCTCCCTAGAATTGGGAAAAAAAGCAATGAAGGGGACTCCTAATACTTTCATGTTTATCATATTTTCATTACTTAAATTTCATTGGGTACTGACACGGTGATAAACATGTAATGTAACCAAAGGCGAACATGCAATATTAAGTCAAGCAAGCTAAGAAAGAAAACTTATTCTATTGTGCCAGTCCAACTGCTAAATCATCCAGCTAGTGCATTAAGGTTATTCCCGTTAGAGATTAAGGTTATTCTTCAGACAAAACATATGCATCATAACAAATGTAAATAGTAAATGTTCAGGATGGGTTTTGTTAGCCAATGTGCAAAGAAAACTTAAACCAAATACCATTTCAGAACAGATCCTCTTCCATCATAATGCTCTCCCCACTTCTCCCACCATGATTGTTCATTTAATCTGCCATACTTATGAGCACCTTTCTCCGTCCAACCCTTAGCATCATACTTTTCCCACCTAAGTAATACATAAATTGCATGAGTTGTATAATGCAACGCTTTCAACGATGCAGGTTCTTTTTCTATGCTTTGAGGCATAGTTGGTCTTTTGATCAATATGAAATGGCATAGCACTTTTTGTAAAATATAAGGCAAAAATATTACTCTCCCCTACTACAATCACCAATCATTTTTCATTACATGATGTGCGGTAACATTAGAGTCTACAGGTTCACAAAGAAACTTATCCACAAGCGCCGATTAAATCACAAATCTATGCAGTAGTAAAAATACTAGAAGTTAATCCAATAAAATGATTAAAGTCATTAAACATTATGTTATGAATAAAATACAGTGTTTTTGTAGGATGTATAATAAGAATCATTATTAAATGAGCTATCATTAAAAGCTAACTTACCAATTTTCATACCATCCAGCATTTTCTGTGCCTGACTTTGCTTGTTTTTGGGCACTCCTCTCTATCCTAGCAAGATTACTACAATTTGAAAAGAGATTAAATCTGACTATTAAAATAACTGTTAGTTGTGATAAAATTGATATACTCCATCCATCCCAAAATTGAAGTTTACACTTTCCTCTTTGAGATATCCCAAAATGAAAGTTACACTTCCCTACTTTCTCATTAATGAATATAATAATATGTGGCTCGTAACTTTTATCTCTCCTAAACATATTTCAACCACACACATTAACTTTTCAATACATTTCTTAAACTCCGTGAAGTCTGTAAACTTCATTTTGGGACAGAGGGAGTATTACCTTTATGCAACAAAAAGAACATATACTCCAAAATAAATAACAATGGCAAGAGAAAACCTCCACTCATCTTGGTGAAGAACTTCACGCCAGGTTTCCCACCATGAATCCCCCTCAACATTTTTTCCGGATTTCTCTACACCTATATACAGTGATAATCTTAGGGTTTTGGAAGTTGTACGTATACTTGGGCACTACTAATTGGAACACATATAAAGAATGTCCTAGAATAAATACGGAATGAAAAGGGTATAAAAATTAAATACAAGAGTACCTAGCTCCTTGTATCCACTCCAATCACTTTTCTCCCACCACTGTCAAGGAGATCAACAAATCCAATTAAATGCATCCACCTAGGATGATACTTAATAAGGTTATGAAAACAATACCACCATAACTACTAAGACACACAAAAATTGAGCATTTCGTTTGTTATCTATTATGGGCTATTCTGTTGCATAGTTAATGGCAAGTTCAAGCAAGAGTTGCAGTAAATGGAAACCATTAGACAGTTTCGGCATATCTGGTTGCATTAGTTTTTTCATTGAGTAGAAGTCTAGAAAAAAGGGAAACAAAAAAAATTCATCATGATGTAGGATCAATGACTATCCTATTCTTGTAATTACAAGGATTACCTGAAAGACATGCAAAGAGGGCGGGAAGTAGCAAAATATAGTATGGTTTCTATATCACGACTGAGGATTACATACCCAAAGAAATGTATATCCAGAGACAGAAGCAGCTAATGACACAAAACTGAAAGTCCAAAATTGTGAAATTGCATTTATTCCTTTACTTTCGTAATTTGTTACACATTTTAGAGGAGATTATTACGCAATAATTCAAATAGAAGTTTGCCAGTAACATACTGTTCACTCATTCTCATATAATAAGGCTTAACGACATAATACATTAAGAACTTATATACCGTTTCTTTCCATTCAGAGGTGCCATCATGGTTTCTACCACCCATCCTTGCCCATCTGCATCTGTAACCATTTTCTCCTAGGTCTTCTCCACTTTCTCGAAACCAAGTACTACTATCCTCATTAATGCCAGATTCTTTAATATTTTCGTTTAACAAATCGATTCCCCAATCCTTCTCGTTTGCAATACCTGTATCTACAGGTAAGGATGAATAAGGTAGATAGATACTTTTTTTGACCACCACCGGATGCAACCAAACATGTCATTCAGCCCTTCAGATGATAATTAAGAAATGAGAATAATCTGGAGAATGGGAAACACTACAAGGCAGAACAAGTACCTCGCTTTGGTGGACTATCACGAGATTGAGGGCCAGAGTTTCTGGGTGTGCAACGGGGGAAGAACTTTTCAGGTTTTGAAACAAAACAAGATCTGTAACATGCCCAAAATCAGAAAGCTACAACTTAAGTAAAAGAGCAATGTAAGTGCAACAAAGAGTAGAGCATAATTAAAAATACTTCTCCCCTGAAGCAACTGAAACACTATGAGTAAAAATACCATTATTTTGGGTTTGTGCAAGCAGAGAATATGTTACATCGCTTCTAATGTGCGAGTATAAAAAAGAAAATCAATTAGACAATGGCATAACAATTCGAGGCTGTGATTAGTTCAACAAAGGACAATTCACTTCAAACATTATAGAAATGAAAATCAAAACAAATTTCTCTAGAAAAAGTATATCTCTAAGTACTATCCCTTCAATGATAATTTCAACAAGTGGGGCAAAATTGATTCGCTATTGGCTTGCACAAAATTAGTGTATAAAACAATCCGTACGAAGTTACATTACTCACTGAGGAGAAACAAAGGTCATTGCAGGTGAACCATGAAGACGAAGTCGGTTAATCTTCCTCGGATCGATCCGCGACTCCTCACCCTTGTCCGTGCTCTTACCAGGCCCGGAATTTCGCCTAATTGGCACCACAGAGTCTGGACAGCAGCACCTGACGCCCCACAGATCTCTGCCAATAAACCTCCGCTTCGTCCCCCGAAATTCTGATAGTCCAGAAAGAGGCAAGGTATCGGCTCTCCTTGCTTCAGGCTTGAACAGCGTGCCTACAGCCCTAGAAGTTGCCGCCATTTCCATTCAGGAAAATGCCATGGACAGGAAGAAATCTAGCACATATATTTGCAATGTAAGCAGAAGAGGCCGTGAAAGAAGGAGAGAAAAATCTGTGTCGAACGGCTATTGCACTAGAAATGTGAGCGGAGAGATAGGGAGGAAGACAGAGGTCAGCTTACTGCTACAAGTACAGAACAGAACGATAGAGGAGGATACGGCGCGTTTGGTGAGCGAGAAAATGCGGATCCAATCAGAATATTTACTGCTCCCTCTCGAACCGGAGTGGTAACCATGTTGAGGACCTGTACTAATACCGTAATACGGAGTAACTTGGGCAAATTATATTATACGCAATTTTGAGTAAAACCGGTAAGTACAAAGAAAGAAAAGAGTTGTGTCGATCGGAATCGGAGGAAAAAGGAGAGGTTTAATTAGATCGGGTCAGGCTGCTCTATGGAAATAGAGGTGCTCCTCGGCCGAGAAAGCTACTGTATGGAAATAGAGGTGCTCCTCGGGTGGCTTAGGAGAAAGAAATTATTTATGGTATGGATTTTATTTCACATGAGAATGAACACTAAGTTATTTGAGATTGAGTACTGTTTTGTTTCAGAATGAACACTACATTATTTGTAGATGAATATTATAATTATATTGAACCAATGTATGAAAATGAATAGTGCATTATTTTAGAATGAGTGTCACGCTAATTATATTTGTGCAAGAATGAGTAGTACTCTACTTCAAAATGAGTACTACCCGGATGTACCTATCTCTAGGTACGCCCACGCCCGATAGTACTATATACCTTCTCAGATCATGATGAAAGGCAACTTAAAAATGAAATGTCATGACATGATGTGTAATATGTCTATCAATAAAAAATACTTGAGCCAACCATGACAAGTCTGTGGAATGACATTCACCCATATGCTAAATGATTATTTTTGTCAAGTTTTCACATTTTTTTTGCATATTTTAATTAATAAAAATTATTTTAGTTATCTATCTTATCACAAAAAAACTTCTACTTTTTTTTTAAAAAAAAGCTTCTTCTCTCTTCAAAAAAGAAATTTAAAAAAATAATTAAAAGAAGTAAAAAATTTAAAAGAAAATAAAAAAGAGCAAATATTTTGGGAATACATCGCACCTAGAATGATTTGTGGTGTGGAACGGCAATGCCACGCTCCAATTTTCATACCTGTTGTCTATGTGGCAGGGTGAGGCAACTACTCTATTCACAGCTACCACTGCTATAGCTTCTAAGGCTATTGGGTGTGGGGATTAAAGATGAATATGAGGGAGCATGGTACGGTATGGTATAATACAATATTTAGTTTGTAATGATACCGTACTAAATATTTTAGTTGGATATGTATTTTACGTCGTAGCGATTCCAATTCTAAAATTTTGATTCAGTAGTAGTACAAATCAAGATGAATACATAGACACCTAATTTAAAATTTAAAATGTCACAAAACCCAGTTTGTATAGTACACAATCAGATGTACCTATATCCGGTAATATTCATTTTGAAGTAAAGTAGTATTCATTTTTACACAAAATCTAAGTGCTCATTTTGAGGTAAAAGAGTATTCATTTTGAAATACCGTGATATTCATTTTAAATCATTGTAGTGCTCATTCTGAAACAACGTAGGGTTCATTTTCATACATTTATTCATTACAATTATAACATTCATTTATGAACAACGTAGTGTTCATTCAAAAAGAACGTAGTGTTCATTCTGAAAAAACGTCGTGTTCATTTTAAAGCAATAGCATATTTATTCTCAAATAACGTCGTGTTCATTCTAAACAACCATAGTATTTATTCTAATGCAATGTAGTGTTCTCACCTCAGACCACCACTAGCTGAAAAGCTCACCACCACGTCGCAGGAGTCGTGGCTACAATGGAACCGTCGGGTAGGTTCAGGTCGCTGCTGCCACACTCGTCACTACTATAGTGGAGCCGCTATCATTGCCAGCGCCATTTTTTGTGCAATTTACTCAATTTCTTTTTGTGTAACTTACTTTTAGTTATATAAGTTTAGTCAAAATTGTGTTAAGCTAGATTCAATTCAGTTAAATACACATTTTTTGTTGATTTACACCCATATTATTGCTAAATAAACTCTCATGATAAAGACTAAATTAATAATTTTAAAAATATTTCATATTTTACTTAAAAACATTTATATCACTGTTAGTGTCTTTTATTATGAATAAGTCACTTAATTTTTGTCGAAAAATTATATTTTTTATTTTCATTCATTTACTTAATTTTCATTGAATTCAAAAGTCCACAATATTTTTTATATCAAATATACTTATTTAAACTAATCAAATATTTAAATATCAACTTCTAAATATTATAATAAATTATTTGCTAAAAATGATCAATAAATGTTTACAACGTGCCATAGACTCCACTCCGTATTTGTTTCTTGTGTCATGTCATTTAATCTTAAAAAAATAAAAAAAATTAGAATGGATATGGGTCACACAAATAATTTCGAATATGATATGTGACAATAACAGTGAGCATATTAAATAAGTAAAAAGAGATTAAAATAGTCAGATAAATGAAATAAAATTTAAACAGATTTAAAGAAAGTAATTTTTGTCACAGGCAACCTCGTCCAGCTTTAGGCCTTTAGGACTCATCCCTCCCAAAAGCTCTACCTTGTCATGGTTCTCCTTCACTGATTTAATCGAGTCAGTATATATAAGAATTGTAGATTACACTGAAAGCTAGCTAGCAGTAGATATTGAGTTTTAGTAGAGGAGATAATGTAGTAGAGTAGACTATGTGATTTTTAACACTACATTGATCATGTCATCTTGTATGATGAATACCATAACTACTCATTTAAAGTATTATCATTTCCACTTCAGTTTCATGTATTTTTTGTTGTTGTTGTGGTCATTTTGCATAATGAGTTATCTACACACATGTGAATCACATCATCTTTATTATTGTATGGTTCTCTAGGTGTACATCATGTTTCTGTCCAATTTAATGTTTACTTGTAAAATTCACAATGAGTACTATTTTAGAACTTCTTATACCTTTAAATCACTTTATCATATTACTGATGAGAACACAAAGAAAGCAAGAGGTAAAGTTGATGAAATAATTACACACCAGTGTGAAATAATTATAAATCCATATTAAAACTGGACCCAGAAGTACTAATTTCTCATAAGAACAACATAAGATCAGAGTCAGTGGGAGTTATTTGAAAAAACTATAGCTCACAAAAGCTAGAGATATAGATGAAAATTTAATGTTTACTTTATGGTAAATGACTCCATTCATTTTCTCATTAGAAAACTCTGGTACATGAATGGGTTGTTGACTCCATGTGTCTTAACAGAAGTGTGAAAGTTGAGTGGGGGCTCTATTAAACCAAACTGAAGAGTAATTTTGTTAAATGCCCACTCCTTTTTTTCTCATATGCTTCCCAAAATACTTTTAATACTAATTTAAATTTTCTTCTTTTATGATTAAATCCCTTAATCGTATCACTGCACGTCACCACACTGTGAATCCTAAGCTGCCAAGTGTACAACTACTAAAGAAGCTTGAAAACCAAGAAGTGGAGACTAAAGCAGAATATAACCTAGTAACCTTACTACCCAGCCACCTGCAGCTCCAGCGGAACAGAGTTGAAACCCCACATCAACAATGCAACTTCGGAGAGGAGCAGCAAATGAGGCCAATGATAAATAGTGATTGAGATTTTCAACTCACTCAATCCCTCTCTTTGGGCAAATGAGAATGGACTTAAATTAGTTTTATTTGTTTATCATATAAGTTGATCCATATAGTTATACCAGACTTTAGAGTGTTAGTCTTATATCAATGTATAAATCTATGCATAATTACACATGTGCACATTTCTAACAAAAAAATCAAACATTATTATTATTTCAGACTGAGTGGATCCTTACGTTAAGAATCTTAAGATGCTAATTTAGAGACAAAAGTATGGTCATTATAAACTCATATTAAAACTAGGCTCGATAGCATTATAAATCCATATTCTAAGCTTCAAATATTTATTTTTCAACAACAGAAATGTGCCTTCAACACAAGGAGTTGTGCCCTGATGGCCAACTGTTTATCATTATTCTATCATGTATAGGCAGATATAATATGTTTACACGTCTCATGCTAATGTAAACAAATATTATATTCCTAGATTTATATTTAAAAGATGTTTATCAGATAGTGTTTTTTCTGCTGATGAGACTAACATCTTGAAATAAATATTTATCTGAATGTCCATAGTCGAGTATTAACGAGAGTGGGATATCGTTAATGCATGTGAGACTAGTGTGTGTTGGATGTTTGACTTAGTCTCATAGTCAATGACAGTGTGTTCGCATCCGCACACGGGCAAATATTATCTGGAGATAATAGGATGCCGGACTGACCCATCCTAAAGATGTTGCTTGAACTTTTAGTTCATGCTCTAAGCATCTTTAGCGCGACCACGGGTGTAACTATCCTTCGACTTGAAGTATTA